GACCCATTCCGTGGGTTGTCTACCCCTCTTTTTGTTTGCCCACTTCGCCTCCCATACAATTCTCGGCAACCTCTCCTCTCCCATCCCGCACATGCGATACTGCCAGGTCAGCTTCCTCGCGTCTCTTCCCGACCGGGCGGCTTGTTTTACAACGTCGTTGCCAAGCGACGAAAATCCAACCTCGATGGCAAACACCGGGGGGGAGGGAGGAATACGTGTCCGACTTTTCGTTGGGGCACACCTTGTCGTGGCCCCAGGCCGTTGTGTGGAACCGGGCAGCTTCCTGTCTACAAGTGTTTTGTAACACTGCACACCCAGTCGCCTTCTTTATCAGAGGCCTTCACCGGACCCAATAGTACAAGCAAGTCACGAAAAACGTCAGGATCCATACAACATCCAGCACTAGCGTGCATCGTTCCACAGCGTCAAAAGGCCCTGGCGACTTCAACAAAACCAAGTCTATCACGTGAACGACAACAAAGGTCGGGATCTATACAATATCCAGCACTAGCGTTCATCGTTCCACAGCGTCAAAAGGCCCTGGCGACGTCATAAAAACCAAGACTATCACGTACCCGACGAGAAAGGTCGGGACCCATACAATATCTGGTCGTAGCGTTCGTTGTTTAGAATACCAAGACTATAGTCTAAACAAAGACAGGGTCGCGCGGTGCCATCATTGGCACATTGCTCCCTCAACATCGTGGAATACTTTTACCCCACCGACAAAACGCTTGCAAAGCACTTTCTTGTCCCAAATCTGGTTTCAGTCGCTCCGTAGGGCTAACAAGGCATCCCCGAATATTCTACGCCAGAGCGACGCCTCGGTTTCATCGTAAATTTTTCCCTGTGTGCCTGCGCGGACGAACGAGCACACGGGAGAGACACATTGCAGGGCCGGTGGGGCGCGCGATTAATTATTATATGCAGGGAAATATGCTGCGAAGTCCATTCCTCCTGTGGAACTACTCGACTTGGGTATACAGCAAAACGCTCTACAACACATGTCATCTTCCGTACATGTATGGATGTATGCATGTTCAATGGTCATGTGGTCGGCGAAGGGTCGGCCTCCAAGAGTCGTCACAGTGTAATCGATCCAGGGATGTACAATATCTCCACACAACCCTGAAACCGATAGTATGTACACCTCCAACATATAGCAAAATGCATCTACCTCCGAACGTATCATCAAAGAGGGTGTTTGGCGACTTGTCCGACTCTTGGGTCCTAGTTTCACCATCTTTTACCTTTCGCTGCTTGCTACACTCCGTATACGTTTCGTTCCATGATGTGTGTCCGCTGACGTCGTTTACGTTCACTTCATCACACACTGATATTGTGTCCTCGGTTGTTTTGCCCACAATGTGCATCACAGATCAAGGCCGCCTCAGCCACTTCTCGGAGGCGGCGGCAGCTCATCATCGGTCGTCGCGGTTCTCCGGGAGGAGCAGTTTAGGAGGGGAACATGGCGGCCGGGGGCGCGGTACGAGGCTTTTCTGCTGGCATGTCCGCCATGTGGAGCTTCGCCATCATCGAACCTCAACAACGCGAGTACGCACGAACGCGTTCTGGGAGCCCGCGGGTCTCGGCTACGAGGCCTTCATGAGCAAGTGTTGTCCTTGGTTAGTTTTATAGTCTTTGTGGCGTAGCAGAAAACCGTGAAGGTGTAAAGGATTGCTCATCCGCGACGTAGCAGCTGCGGTGATCGTATTCTATCTCTTCAACAAAATTACGGAAGCTTGTGCAGCTGGGTCTATTCAGTGCGTATTTGAGTTTGGACGTACAGCAGAGTTTATCGGGCATCGCACACCAACTTGTATGAAATGCGTGTTGTTTCGCGTTGGAGTCGGGCACATGACCTGCCTCGTTGGCCGTGTACACCAGTCGCTTCCCGAATGCGTGCGAAAACAGGTTGATTACTCTTGGAGGTCTGTGTTGTAGAGTGATTCCTTTTTTTCGTATCGCTGCAGTGCTACTGCACGCATGAAACGCACGCCAACTACATCCGTCTGTCCACAAGATATCGGCGTAACCGCCAGGGTTTTCGATTTGTTCCTCTGCATTTGTTTCGCTTGGCAAGGGAATCGGTTGCCTACTTCGTTGAGATTCCAAATCTTTCATCCTCTACGTTCAGTATACCTGGACGTCCGTTCAAATCGTCGTCATTCGTTTTCTGGCTGCTCGAAACCCAGAGTTCTTCCGCGCACCACCCTCTTCGCGCGCCCAGTGGCACAAGGCAGTCGGGCTGGCCGTGGTCGAGTTTGTGCTCCTGTTCAAGCAGTATGCGTACGGGCTGATACGGCTCGTCGCACGCGGCCTGATGGCGTAAGATAGCGCGACTCCCACGCAGTGCGACGTGAGTAATTGTATGTATTTCATGTAGTTCCCGAGCGAGGGGAGCATGGGTGGGTCCTGTCGCGCGTTGGGTGTCGTACAAGAGACAGATCAGCACTAGCACTAACAGCTAGCAATAGCAACAACCAACAGGATCCTTGCAGTTTTGTGGGCGCGGACGAGAGACCGTAAACAATCGGAGAGGGGAAGATCATGCGGTGCTGCGATCCTCGTGTCTACGCGAGTGATTATGTGACGTTGCCTCCTATTAACCTGCTCCCGTCGATCCTCTTGTCTCATTTGTTCCCGCACGCAAGACATTATGGAGTTTGTAGGCTCTACTCTCGAGCTGCCCCTTGAGGCCCACAGGTGGAGAGGCTGGGATGCCCTGGAACCGTCTGGCATCTGGGGGGGAGTCGGGAAGGGGGGGGGATAAGACCCTTTTGCATCTGAGAAGGTGAGTAAGTTTGGAAATTTGAGTGCGGCTGGCGTGACTGCGTTAAGCCTACCACGAGGTAGCCCTGAGCAGTCTGGCACGAGGTAGCCCTGAGCAGTACATGACATCATTGATCGCGGAGGCTGAGATGCGCTCTTCTCTTGGACAAGGGATGGCGAATACCGGGCAACTCGGTGCACACACCCACTTGAGTAATATATAGATTTTCGACGTCGTTTGGAAGACCAAAACTCGACGTTGGACCTCGACCTGACCTTGAGTTTACTTGGCTATCGGCTCGTTCTGTGCCACCTTTTTTTGAGAGCTATCCATGCCCTCCTTCACGTACGAATCTCAAGTCAAGCGTACAGGGATGGGTGAGGGGAGATGCATGCCACGATTCACGACTTTGTGGAAGGCTCGGCGGCAGTCTTGGCTGTATCCTTGTTGCATGGGTTAATAGCGCAGCATCGTGAATTTGGCTAACGTTTTAGCTCAACAGCTTCACCAACAGGAAAGTCGAGTCTAAGAAATACTTCAAGCATAGAACATTTCTCGGCACGTTTCCACGAAGATGCCCGCCGATATGCATACGCAGTGATTGCGCTTGTAAGGCGCATCATTTGATAAATATCACACCTGCATTGACCCTGGGGGTGGAGAAATACTCTACCTGAAACCTTGAAGAAACTTTCAGCTTTTAAGAAACTGTAAAAAATTCAAGGTGTGTTAAAGCGAACGCGACTGCTGTATGCTTCAAGGCGCTTTGAAACATGTTGTCGGGCGTGTTTTTTTTTCTGTGCTGCTCCAATGCAAGCAAGCCCCTCTCACGCGCATGCCTTGTTTTCGTATGCGAAATAATATGTCCACAATATGTCCGGAGCAGCTTGTGTGTCCAAGGTCCGTGTAGACGACTGCGCAACTCTCGCTAGATTCTACCACACTCCATAGCGTAGTCCTTCTGACCATATAATTATACACACCGATGTATCCCTCACCCATTTTTTCCGCCGGCCTGTTTGTCATGGCACCTCCTGTCACTTGCCCCCCGCCATTCCTCTCAAAACCCAACAGGTTGTTCCGGAACTTGTTCGTATGGGTGAGTTGAGAGAACCGGACGCTTCAGCCCTTCCTCGACTTTGACATGGAGATGTTTCGCGAGATTGGCATCTCACATCTCACCCATTACGCGTGCCCTTACCTGTCCAAGCGGGGTACGTTTTCCAAACCCAAACGTTGTGCGGTGCATGTAAGCCTGGGCGCGACATATCTGTTGGGAATGTTCGGTGGTTGGCCTGTGTGGGATTGCTGTGCACATCTGATGAGAGGTTTCTCCACCCTATCACACATTTACTAGGTTTCCCCTCCCGAAGACTGCAGCCCGGGCGTGTTTTTGGGATTATACAAGAACAGGCTAGAAAAACTCTCGCAATGGTTTTTGATAACCCGATGGCACATGCAGCAGCCACTTCATGTATTCTGGGTTCGTTGGTCGCAGTCGCTTTCATGTCCAGTCGCGTGCTACTTTGTTAATGCCCATGAATATGGCCTGCAGGCACCCCACGTGGACCCTCACCCAGTGGTTTCCAATGCCGTCGTTGACCTGGTGGTGCCTTCATGCATCGCATCCGGCACATTTCTGACAACATCGTCGCATCCGTCGAACTTTGATCAGCTGCACATCCGTTCATATTCCAAAATTGATGTCTGTTCCACCATTCGCTTCTTACCATCCGATCTCCTCAACTTGCATATGCCCGCTTTCTTGCCAGCTCACGGACGACCAGTTCGGAGATGGCGCGAGCGACGACGACGCAAACATAAACGACGGCGCGTTGGCGTTGGCTGTCGAGGCGGTCGGGCCCTGATCTCCTGTTGCTGTCGGAATTTTCAGGCGCGGGTGTTGAATTCATGTTTCGTTCTGTACGAAGCGTTACAATCCCGCATGGGTTGTGTCGTCGGGAGTCTCGGAGTCTACCTGTGGCTGAAAGTGTTGCCGATTTCCCTGTCGGTGTATTGTACTTGAATGTTGTAGGAAGACTCATGACGGAAGAGCAATTATTGTGCGCCTTATGTGCTAATTCTGATTTCTGTGGCCGCAATTTGGTTTAAATCTCAATCTTTGGTGAAAAAGTGCGTACCTCATCTAGCCCACGGAAGGGTGACGGATGTATCCGTACACCTTCGCAGGAAACATCAGCGTTGTTAATTATCTGTTCCGTCCGTGCAGAGGCGTTCTTGTTGTACACGAAGCAGGTAGTAATTCGACGGAGGTGATGCTTTCATTGTCGGGTTCCCTTTCTTGGTGATACCGAGAATCTCGATGGAAGAACCTCTACTTTTGCCCTGGTTGTAGATGTTGTTCCCGTTTTTTTGTTATGGTGCAGTATTGTGTGATGGTACATGATATGACATTTGTGGGATGAGTCTTGAGCCCACATGTTTTGAAGTCTTTGAAAGATGTATAGTCTAGACACGCTCCTTTGCCTCGGTTGTTTACTTAATGCTCGAATTCCCTGCAACGCGCGAGGGGTAAGGCAACCTTTTTCGTTGTTGTTAGCTTGTTTACGATGGATGCGTTCAAAGTAAGTTGACGTGTGATATTCTGCGTTAGTCGCCGACTACAGCAAGGTCTTCGATGCAACACTAACAACAAACATTTACCCATAAATTTGTAACGTTATCGACAACCCTCGCAGGGGCTTTGCCCTAAGCTAGGGCGCGCATCCCAACCCTGCGCAAGGTCGCCACCTTCCCGAATGATGGTAAAGGTAGTGCGACCTTGCCAGGGCTGTCACCCTGGTGATGACGTTCACACACCCTTGCCCAAGGTCGCAGTGGGCACGTCACCAGGGTCTGGACCTAGGCCAAGGTGGGCACGTTACCAGGGTCTGGACCAAGGCCAAGGTGGCCTAGTGACGAACCCTGCCCAGATACCGCCTGGCACAGGCAGGGGGTAGGGGGGATTTCTATGTTCGTGTGCGTAGGTACAAGGTCGACCATTCTCCCACCCTGTGGCGGGGCCGAATGGCCACCGGTTGACCCCTGCTTGCGAGTTCTCGCGCGATGTCTCGCTACGTTCTCTGCGAGAGCGAGCTTATGGGTAAGGGTAAGGGTTAGGGTTAAAGAGTCGGACGCCAAAGGGCCGATGCCTCGGCGTATAACCCGGGGAGATATGTGGGTATATGTCCTCCGTCACATACACGTCAATTAGACCGTGTTCGGTTGGGTTGAATTGGGTTGGGTTGGGTCGGGTTGGGGTTGGGTTGGGGTGGGTCGCCGCCGTCGATCGCGCCTCCGTCGCTTCGTCGTTCGTCGCCGTTTGGTTGTGTTGCGTAGAGTTGGAGAGGGTTGGGGTGCCGGTCGGTCGGTCGGTCGGTCGGTAGATCTGGCGGCCTTGGGCCGCATTCTTCTTCGATCGCACCGCCGTCGCTCCGTCCCTCGTCGCCATCGATCGCCCTTGTATTTAGTAGTTGGCCACGTTTACAGTACTACTCAGCAGCAACCGGACGATGTTTTAATAATAACGTTAAGTCAACAACCACAAGATAACACGTCGCCTCAACCATAGTCTGCAATACAAGACATTACACAGCAGTCCCGTGGCAGATACTACAACACAGCAGCCGCACAACTCTAGACTCCCACCCTATCATACACTCTAAAAAATAGACTAGATCTGATCAATCAATCTGATCTGGGTCTGGTATCTGACCAATATCTGATTTGTCTGTGTATCTTATCACCACTCACGTCGACCGTGCCAAGTGGGGTGTGCATATGACGAGAGTAGACTAGACTAGACGAGTCTTTACTCTGTTACTTGATATATTCTGTGGCCATACGATGGGCTCCAGAATAATGCCTGTTAATCTGCTGAAGCCTGGTACTATGTACTGCTCGACATGCTGTGTACAATAGTCTACAAGTTGGATTTTGCTGCCTCTCCAATGCATGCATCCATATCCCATATCATACATATAGGTGCTGCAGCAGGATCCAGGTAGCCATTCGGAATGTAACGCCATATTCTCTCTCTCTCTCTCTCTCTCTCTCTCTCTCTCTCTCTCT